TAAGAATATCCCAAGATATTATCTCATCATTAATATCTTGAAATTATTCTTTCCTCATCCGTCCTACGGATGACACAACTTGGCTAATGGGAAGCCGTCACGTGTAGGGCATAATCCTACCTCTATGTCCGGCCACCTTCCTATAAATACTCCATCTACACCAGAGAAACTAACTTCAGAATCGAAGATTCATTGGCCAACCCCTTCTCCCACCTCGTGGACGTGTGAGGCTTTGGCCTTGATTAAAGGTGTTTATTTGTTTTGCAGGTACGATTTCATCTAGATTGAAGACAACGGAAATTTGTTACCACAAAATGGTGCTTTCATTGAGAGCCCGATTTAATATCTCGAAAAAGGCTCTCGTATTCACTCTTAGGAATTTTCTGTTATGTTGAATTTTCCTACACTCTTAGTCATTGAATTTTTCTTAGAAAAGTTCCTTGCTCAGTCCCTGGGAAAATGATACATGGTAGGAAATTCTGAAATCACGACGAACGAAACACCTACGTTGAAGGATACAAACCGGACGATGAAGACAATGACATGGACCCACGATGCTGCTCCTTGCGACTCAACGCAATGGTAGTACGAGCACCACCACAACGGCTGCCATTGCAACCCATGGTAGAAACGTGATAAGGCATGAGTAGAAGGCTAGGAGCTGGCAACCTACATTGCCACAACAACCCTGGCTCTTCAGCAACAGGCCTTGCTTCCCAAGGCCTAGCAGAAACAAAGCAAGCCTATAGACACAAGGCTTATTGCGCCAACCTAACATTCTTAGCTTTAGCCCATGTCCGCTCCTTAACTCCGCCTCGTGCTTTAACCACCACCTGGCTCGACCTTAGGTCCTTAGACTAGCCCTCAAACCAGTTTAACCAAATCGACCTATGGCTCCCATACCATATCCATCTCAGAACAAACCGGTCGGATATACTATCAAACCAAAAACTGAATCATAGGTATTTTTTCCCCTGTTGTTTTCGAATGCTTGCTCTATTCAGGGTCGAATTTTGTACACATTGCTCATTGTATTTCAACCACTCACAAAGATGCCTACCAACTAAACTTTTCATGCCAAATGGTGACCTGCATTTGTCTAGGAGCACATCGAGATGTAGTGCGCCTCAAACAAGGTGTCTCAAAATAGAACAAGGGCAGACGAGATATAGGGCATAGAAGTTTACCAAGTTTTTGACCTCCCATGTTACCAATATTGTCATGTAGCAACAATATAGGGCACAAAAGTTTTTGGATTTTATTTTTGTTTTACTTTTCACTTAAGCAGAACCAGTTGTTGGTCATAAATCATCAAGCTCGACCCACTGACTTGAAAGCTATGGCTGAAGCACAAGCACTTCTAGCAGTCACAAACGACGGAGACGTGGTCATGGCAATGGAAATGGGAAGAAATCCTAGCCACGGGCCTAAGTTCAACAGAGTAAAGGCTCAATCAATGGAGGAAATTCGACCCATAAGTTCGATTCCTTCACCCTTAAGGCTTCTAGCCTCAAGAACAAGGGAAAAACTATCGTTCAACCAGATTTCACTTAATTGGATATGTGTTATCACTGTGGATCAAGAGAACATTGGTCATGCCTCTACCGAGCTACCCTTGATGTTATTGCTAAGTATCATTCATGTCGTGAGACTAACTTCGCACAAGTGGAAAATCCTAAAGATACTACCACTGCTAGCATGGAGTCTTCAAATTTTCAAGAGGCATTCGCTCCTATGGTTTATTTTTTGAGACATGCTAAGGATGGGATTCACGAGGCCACTAGGCTTGGTTGCAATCTCACCCCCCCCCCCCCCCCCCCAAACAACAATTATTTAATTTTTCTTGTGATTTAATTTTCGAACTATTTTCTAAGTTCTTGGATTATTTGTTTGGTTGTTTTGTTTTGAATTTTGGATATTAAATTTATGGATATTATTTCTCGAATGATTAGTTGAATGAATGGAATTATATTTATGCCTGGGACTGATTCAATTAATTTATTCTAGGTATGTCTTGTGGGGAACTTAGTTATTTGGCTAATAGTGCAACGACGCACACCATTTTGCGTGAGCAACACTATTTCACTAACTTCATACTTAAAAAGGCATCTTTGACAACCTTCTCAGGCTTATTTAACTTGATCGAAGGATACAGAATGGCCTGTATGATGTTGTCTAATGGTACTGAACTAACCATTAAAGAGGCCCTATATTCTCCTTTTTTGGGAAGAACGATGTTGAGCTTTAAAGATATTCGAGAGAATAACTATCATATTGAAACCACCGAAAAGACTGGTTTGAAATATCTTTGCATCACTTCTTAAGAATATGGCCAGAAGCATATTCATGAAAAGAGGGAACGCATCCCGAGTGAGTTGTACATCACGACCATTCAAGCTGTAGAGGCTCACTATGTGGGCGGCCCTATGCTTGATTTCCGAAGTGTTTCATTGCTTTGGCACAACCATTTAGGATATCCACGATGAGATATGAGGTGTTGTATCCTTAAAGTATCACATGAGCATCCTCTTACCATAAGTTTGTGCACTTATCCTAGACATTTATCTTGCAAAGCATGCTTCATGGGGAAGTTGGATCCTCAACCCTCAACTACAAAAATTATTCACGAGCTTCCTAAGTTTCTTCAGATTATTCAAGGGGATATTTGTGGACCTATCCAACATACACGCAGACCATTCAGATACTTTATGGTGTTGGTTGATGGATCTACACGTTGTTCACATGTCTGCTTATTGTCCACACGCAATGTTGCCTTTGCGAAACTCCTAGCTCAAGTTTAGGACTCACCACCTTGATTATCCGATTAAGTTGATTCAACTAGATAATGTTGGAAAGTTTACATTACAGTCTTTCGACAATTAGTGCATGTCTGTTGGGATTAAAGTTGAACATCCAGTACTTCATGTTCAGACCCAAGACGCCTTAGCAGAAGCTTTCATAAAGCACTTTCAAGCGATAACTTGAACCTTGGTTATGCAAACCAAATTGCCAGTATCTGCTTGGGCTATGCAATATTGCATGCAACCATGTTCGTCCACTTGAGGTTCACTGCTAGCCAATCTCATTCACCTTTACTATTGGTTACTGGGTACGAGTCTAACATCTCCCACTTACGTTTGGGTGGATAGTCTATGTGCCAATAGTGCCGTCACTACATACCAAATTGGGTCCCCATAGAAGAATGAGAATCTATGTCGATGTCGGTTATAATTCGCCATCTATTCTTCACTATTTAGCGCCTTTGACAGACGATCTTTTTATTGTACGTTTTGCTTGTCACTTCGATGAAACAGTTTTCCCGTCGTTAAGGGAAGATAAGAACACTACCGTTCCAGAAGAATATATATGTAGAAGAATATATATATATGCGCACGCCCGCCTGTATATATTATTGAAAGAAGACAACTTAATTAATTCATAAAATCCGCAAAAGATTATAATCATGCAAATATGACCCTAAGACGGAAGGAGGGTACATGCAAGCAAAAATTTAAAATTTATAAAATTAGAATAATATTGTGAGACTATGAAAAAGGAGGTAGATTTATAAAAATCAATGCATTATAAGTTATTCTATTTTTTTAACAACTAAATTAATATATTATTACTATCAACCCCCAAGCTTGGTTTAGCCATTATCAAAATCTCAAGAAATTAGACTAAATTAGTTGATAAAATCCCACTACAAGAAGACTACCAATGTTACTTACTCAAACAATACAAAACTAGTGTTCATGGACTAACCAATGCTGCTCAAATAGGGACAAGCTAGTACTAAAACACTAGAATGCACTAAAAAGACACTAAATAAAAAGAAAAGTGACACCCTTCAAGGAATCACTTAAGTCTAGGTTATTTTGATGCGTCTTTTGTTGCTTGTAGTACATTACCCATATATTTCTCCTTCTTCATATCCTTTTTTTCTTAAGAGAGATCATGTCCATTTTTAGATCTGGTGTCTCTTTGGGCACCCAACTTTTTTATTAGTTTACCAATGGTAATGAATTTGATGCTTATATTATAGCCTTAAATATAATGGCCGAAAAGGGCATAATTGAAAGGGTTCGGTGGTTGACAACCGAATGACAAACTGAAAGAACAATGCGTGATTCGCTTAACTAGGTCCAAACGACATGAGAACCCATGTTTTTTCCTTCAAAAAATTTTGCAATCCTTCTTAATTACACGAATGTTCAAGCTTTAGTGGAGATGTTATGACCTAAACCCCTTCTTTTATTCAATTTTAAACCGAAAATACGAAAACTTGGAGGACCTGGAGATGTACTCATATACATATAGATCTCGGTAGAGGAGAGTGGAGATGTTTCTGTGAGTTTGGTAATTGAGTTTGATGCTGTTGAGTGAGTTACGTGCTCTTATATAGTTTTTAGGTAATTCGAATTGGGTATGGAATGGGGTGATTTTGGAATGGTTTGGGTTTATTAGTATCGAAAAAACAGTTTTAGAATGTGTTGGGCCATGATATTAAAACGGGTAAACTTGTAGAAATTAAATGATTGAGCATGGGCTTATTTTTGTGAGCGTTAGCTTGAAGGGTTGACTTAAAGAACTACCTCGCTTCTTGTTCGCTTGAAATAGAGATCCTTAATTAATCCTGTCTTCCTCTCTCCAATTAATTAGAGATTTTTAGTGCATTCGAAAACAATACGGTATATCACATGATAATACAGAAGTGAGGGAACATTGAGAAATAGACCCTAAAATAAGACATATAAACTATGTCGTCTACTTATATTATAATACGTGATATATCTCCTTATATTTCAAGTAGACATAAAAATTCCCAATTAATGCAATTCCATTATCTAATGTTTCTTTTTCTTTTGCTAATAAGGAAAACAGTTTAACCACAATATAATGGTAACTTGGACCGTGTTCGAGCAATCAGAAGATACAATGTAAAGCAGAATAGAAACATAGTATTAAAAGCAAGTCCGTGAGCTTGGTGGTCTGAGACAAAATAGCGACAAAGAAGCATACACTTTTATAAATAATTGGCAATTGAAAGCTCGAACCAAGTTATCAGTTGATCCAACCAATTAATATTCCAATACACATGCATACAAGACATATGCATATTATGCATGCACAAATACATATACATATATATATATATATATATATATATATATGAATAGTTACTAGACACAATTGATGGCAACTTTCATCCCAGACTCGCAGTGCCCTGGAAAACTGCATATGAAGTAGTTTTGTCCCCTCCCTAGCCTTACTCTGTCCTTGCCGGATCTAAAGACTTTTGCACCACTCGGAGTTGTGCAGCTACTGTAACCACCTCTGTCCACGGCTACCACATTGTGAAGATTTGGATCATAGTTGAATACTGCAACAATTAATTTACAACAAAGTAATAACAATTAATTGAGCTGCAAAATATATATTCTGGGACCAACTCGTCAATTTACCCTTTGTAAATTTATATTTTGGCATGGATTCTTAGGCTTAGTTCATTCTTTGAAATATGATAAAAAGGTGAATGGATTAAAAATATATTAGCACAAACAAAAAAACGAAGTATAAATACTTTCAACAATACCACTTGACCAAACTTACATAGCACATCGCCGGCTCTAAAGTGCTTTCCGTTGGGCCAGCTATCGGAGTTGAAGGTCCACCCACCAGAGTCTCCAACAGCCTGAGGAGCAGCATGTGTATATTCCAGGTGAAGCATTAGGCACAACACCACTACCACTTGCATAACCATGGTTGCATTGGTTCGACCTGCACTGCCTCTTCCCCGCTGTGGCATATTCTAAGAAGCAAAAGCAGGCGATGAAGCTCAGAGGCTTTGTGGATCCGAAGCACTTTGGAAATGCAAGAAAGCAAGAAGGCAAAACCTAGCTTTTATATGGGATAAAGAAAGAAATCTGATCCCAAACTCCACTCGGTCACCGTATTTGTTGGATTACAGGTACTACATTATTGTGAAAATTCAATTGACTGCATAAAAACTCGCGTGAAGTACATCAAAGCTCGCCCGTGAACCTAAGGCGGCACAACATACAATACTTATTTTTGTTTTTTTGTTCAAAGTGTAGGGTGGGAGGTGTTGAGAGATAAGTCTCACGTCAGGAAAAAAAAATTGTGTGTGCTTATAGGTAGCGTTTGGTACGCAGACGGGACGGGACGGGACGGGACGGGACAGGACGGAACGGGACGGGACGGGACGGAACAGATGTTATGTGTTATGTTTGGTACGCGCAGGACGGAACAAGATGGTTGTTCCGTCCTGTGTTTGGTAGCACATGGACGGAACGGAACCAAAAGATTAAAATGACTAAAATACCCATGTTCCGTCCCTTGTTTGGTACAATTTTATGGGCGGAACGGGACATAACTCTTTTTTTTTTTTTTTTTTTAAATAAGTTGTTCAAATTTGAACACTATTATCCATTATTTGTTTTTCTTGGTCCAAATTTTAATAGGTATATGTTGTGTTTCACATGCAAACCCCTTTAAAATTTGTAATTTTTCCCGTTTTCTACACCTTCATTCGAATTTTCACCACAAACCCATCAAATTTTATTGTGCAAATTGCAAAACCCACACCCCAATTCAATTTTTAGTCCCTAATTTTGGTCCTTTCAATTGTGGGTTGTTGTTCAGGGTTAGGTTCTAGAAACATTAGAATTGGCCTTGTTTAGAAGGACACCCCTCTAAATATTCCCCATTGTAGGAACAAGGCATACCACATAAGAGCACATGACAAATAAGCCATAATATCTAGATAACTCCCAATTACCATATTACAATAACAAACATCTCAATAGTCTTGATGTTACGAATTTTCAAGCCAATTACAACAACTACATTGAGTCCACATCTAAAAGACAATTACAACAACTACCATGTTAACCAATTTTCAAGCCCTCCTTCCTCTCCACTCATCATATATTTCTCTTGCAAGATCATCCCTCCATTGAGTCCATATTTGGCCAAAAATCTGAAAGGGACGGTTTCCCGAATCTGGAAAACAAAATGCATCAGATGGATTAGTCCATTGACATTTAGAATGAACCATTGTTCTTTACCACTGCACTCACACAGTTTATATCCAAACTGCAAAACTATAAAAAACCACAGTTTATATCACCAAGAACTGCACTCACACAGTTTAATCAAAATCCATTTTAATCCAAACTGCACTCACACAGTTTATATCCAAACTGCAAAACTATAAAAAACCACATGCAAATAATTTTAAAACAACTGCACTCAAGAAACACCAAATTGCAGATTGATATGTATTTAAGTAATCACCTATTCAAGTCCATCCTTTCTTGGATACTAGCCTCTTTGCACATTGTTTTCATGCTTCGCAAGATAGTCTAGGATTACTTGGCAGAGTAATACATACCTGGATTACAGAAAAGTGTTCACCAGCAGGCTATCTTTCTAGGCTATCAATTTTGAACCTTTGAGAATGTGGAGAAGGATGCTCTCCTAAAGCTAGGCATCCAACACTTCTATGACATTTATATAGATGCTTTTCAAAGACGAAAATAAACTAGTTACAAACACAAGTTGTGGATCTCAGACAGTAATAAAAACACTTCTTACAATCCTCTTCAAGCCGGAGAAAACAAGTAAAAGATGTCTAGCTTGCAATACCTCCAAAAGTGAACCCAATCAAAATAAGAATATGTATGAAAATGAATAAAACAAGATTCTGTGATTAGATTGGAGATAAATTTATTGCAAATTACTTGATTGCATATGTTGAAACAGAACTTCATGAGAGTATCAGATCTCACTTGATAATAAATAATCTCTATTGCCTAGTATCGCCAACAACTGTACAAAATTTGACATAGTTTGTTTGTTTTTTTAGGGAAATGCAGACAAACCTACAACTTGAAAATGAACAAAGAAGTTGGGAATTGGGATTGGAGGTTTCGAATGCAAAACCTCCTGTGACCAGGTATTCCCAGATTTCTGGAGCCAACGTTTTTGCAGAACCTCTTGGGCAATAACCTCATTATATTCCTTAGTTTATGCTCCAAATTGATAAGGAAGGGAACAACGTTCTTGCAGAACCTCTTGCAAGATGCCTAATTTCCTAAATTGAATTTGAGAACAGAAAGACAGATTGAAAGCGGAAACAGAAACCAAAGAAAAAAATGTGCCAGACCCAGATGAGAATCGCCAAAAAAAACTAGTATTTTGCTGCACTCTAGAACTAGATACAAAATATCAAACACAAACAGAGAACAAATACATAAACAGAGAACAAATAAAAAACATTTGAACAATCGAAGAAAGAGAGACCGAGAGCTACACGAAAACAGATCGAACCTGGAACCGAGATGCAGAGCTGAAGATGCTACGGAAGAGGATGAGGAGGAAGGTTCGCAGAGCTGCTACACGGAAGATGCAGAGGTGAAGAGGCTACAGGGAAGAAGATGAGGAGGAAAGGGAAGATGCAGAGGGAGGAACACGACGGCTGAGAAGAAGAGGGATAGTTTTTAGGGTTTGTTATATGATTTTTGATGTAAATTTTGAAAAAGACAAGGGGCATTTTTGTCTTAAAATTTTGGAAATTTCTGTCCCACAGGCGTGGAACAACCCGTTCCAGGGTGGGGGTGTGGAACAGAAAATCATCCAAAATCTGTTCCATGGAACAGCCCGTTCCACTCATTTTAGGCGCACCAAACGCGGGACGGAACGCCTCGTCCCACTCTGTTCCGTCCCGTCCCGCGTACCAAACGCAACCATAAGTAGTTGCACTTCTGTGCATATTGTAAATTGCATTTTATAGTAAAATCTCAAATTTTTTCATGGTATGAGAGCGGGTTGTCTGTACTCAATGTCACCGACTTGTGTTGTCCACATGTTAGGTTTGAAATTTTGCCACACGTGAGGAGGAGTTTGAGAGATAAATCTCGAGGAAATAACAGACCTAGCATGTGCTTAAGTAATTGGGCTACTTCCCATATTGCCAATTGATTTTATATTAGAACCTCAACTTTCTTGAGGAGGAAGGTACACTTGTTTCTTTGGTTCTATAATTTTATGGAGAACTGCTTGGCTTCACAAAATCATGGAGGAGTTCCCGCATAAACCCAATTTATTTTCACAAAACTTTCTGCTTACGATTAGAATGTTCATATTATAGTTCACTACATAAAAAATAATAAAACATAAAACCAGTTATTCATCGAACTGTATAAAAACAGTTGATTGAAAGTACCACCAACTGTTTATCTATTTGCTATAGTTGATTGACAATTTGTAGTCTGACATTTGACATGGTATATTTTGCTCGTGCTAACGTGGTGAGGAGTAACACCTCGTTTTTCCATATTTTTTCTCGGAGTGTTACAATCGAAGTAAGTTGTGCATATTCCTTTTGCAGTGTCCCTTTGTTGGTGTTGTTGGCAATGGCTAATTGGGCTTTCTGGGAGATATTTCGTCCCTTTGGACTCCTTAGGTACCTTCTTTTCTGGGTCAATTTCCTGTGGGATTCCACCCCCCCCCCCCCCCCAAAAAAAATTCTTGGCGTTTATGGTTTATGGATGGCTTGCAATACTTTTAGGGCAACCAAGAAGCTTCAAATTAGGTTCGCTTTGAAGGGTTTGAGATGGATCTTGCTCCCCAAACCATTTGCTTCTTAGTTATTATAGGGAGTAGGTTGTGGTTTTTTTTTTTTTCTTCCTGGGTGTGCTTCATTTTCAAGGGTCAATGTAGGGGGCCTGGTCAAGTGAGGCAAGGTTGCTGTATTTTCATTGGCGTTCAGATGCAGTGTTAAACGAGTAAGGGTGGTGTAGAAACTTCTTTTTGAACGACTCCACTCAAAGTTGTTTGGAAGCATCCGCTGGCATCAACTTTACTTTACACAAGACACACAAAAGAGGTATCTTGACTGTACTAGGCGGGTGAGGTCACTAGAACGTAAGGGTAGGGTTCAAGAGAATAAAATGCATTTAGGGCGTAGAATATATGAACCTTATTTGGAAAATCTATGAAAGTAGTAGAAGTTATGGTGAGGAGAATGATAAGTTTTATGTGCCTCCAGGAAATTAAGTGGGTTGGTCTTAAGGCAACTAAAAACTCAGGTTTTAAGCTTTGGTATTCAGGCAAACACAGATCGAGAAACGATGTTGGCAGCAACATGAATCATACTTTAACAAAAGATAAGGTTGATGTTAAGAGGGATGGAAAAAAAATTATAGCAATAAAGATTTTGATAGGGCAAGAACTCATCAATGTGATTAATGGGTATGCATCTCAAATTAGGTTGGATAGGATTCTGAAAGAAAACTTTTAAGAAGATCTTGGAGAATTTGTTCAAGGTGTAACAACCTGTCTTGGATTTTACGGAACGGAAGGGTATTTTTGGTAATTCCATTTGGATTGTGGGATTTTTTGTTTAAAATATTATTTTTGGTGTTAAATGGTGTGCCCAAAGGGCCCACCCCTATTTTGGTCCCCTGGTTCCCCTCTCTTTCCTAGGCTGCTACATGGCTGTCTCTCATCTATCCCTCTCTTATTTTCTCTTTCCCCCTCCCCGAGGCAACTCTCACTCTCTCACTCTTGGATCTCTCGCAGCTCACTTTCCATCTCCCATTTCCAATCGACTCACACCCACACCCACACCCACACACTCAACGGAGCACCTCGACAATGACAACACCTCCAACTCCATCGATTGGACCCTCTCTCCCTCTCCCTCGTCTTTATGAAGCTCAGTGAGACTGAGAACCCAGGCCCGGTGAAACCATGGTGTTCAAGCTCGAAGTTCGACCCACTCTGGCCATTTCACAACGAATTGAAGGTACCAAACTTCTCCCTTTCATCTCTAGTTTCATTTTGGTACTTATATCGTAGGTTAGGGTGATCGAACGATGTCGACCAAAGCTTGGGAGGCTCTAGCCTTCGTTCTTGATGGAAACGGGCCAGTTGACCTATGCTCGGAAACCCAAAAGCCTTAAACCATCAAACCCAGGCCCTTCCGGCTGTACTAACTCGGGCCTTGGCCTGCTAAACCCTAAACCCAATGACCCCCAAAGCCCGAACCCAATTAGTTAAACCTAGAAACCCAAAAGGAATCAGGCCTTCAGGCCATGTGGAACTCGAGCCCAAACCTAAGGGAGCCATCCCGTTTCCCCAACCCAAAACCCTTTTATCCTGGGCTGGGTTTTCAAGCCTAGGCCCTTTGACCCAAAACCCCTTTAAACCCCGGCCCAGCCCATTGCACCGGTCCGACCCAAACACCAAGCCCTATTGATCGGCCTTTGACCCGACCCGTGACCCGACTCGATTGACCCGGTCTAACACTGATCGTTGACTTTGATTGTTGATCGGTCAATGTTGACTTTTTGTTAACTTTTTAGGGTTTCGATTGAGACCCTTCCTAGGCTAATTTCGACATCCTAGATCCGTTTTTGACGTCTATTTTTTGAAATTCAATCATTTTAATAGAGTTTGATTAATTGGACCCTTTATGTGCTTAGGTGCATTTATTGTGGCGTTTCCGTCTTCGCTAGTTTGCGTGGCTTTTTGATGGCGAAGTATTTGTAAGTGGACCCTTTCTAAAATGCATGTTTTAATAGTAGAAATTCACACATGAAAAGCATAATTTAATGGTTACATTTTATGAGTAAATTAGATTTACACTTTATTATTATCATGCTTTACTAGGAATATTTTGGAATACCATACTTTATCGAAACTTATGTTTTTTGTAGTATATATGATGAATGACTATATACTATTTATGAACATGTTTTTACACTTCTTTATAGTATATATGATGGATGACTATATGCTATGAAGATGATTTTGAGATATATGTACCTATGTTTGGAAAGATTATATTCAATGGTTTTGTGCGTATCTAGTGGTCATTGTTCTGCCTACAGGTGATAATACTTATATTGGCTTCGGCCGGGCATGTGTAGGGCATTATTCTATGCGTATATGATATTTATATTGGCTTCAACTGGGCATGTGTAGGGCACTGTTCTGTGCGTACGGTGGAAGATACTTATTTATGATACCACTAGTTAGCACACTATACGATATATGTTTCATGAAAGGTTTTATGGCATGCTAGGGTTTTCGGAAAAACCTATTACATATTATGCTATTGAGTTTTCATAAAACTTTGGAGGTTAGTATGTTGATAACTATTTCAATATTATATATATATATATATATATATATATATATATATATATATCAATCTGGTCCACTCATGTTTGTTTTGCGCCCCCTCAAGATTTAGAATCGAGGAGTAATCCCGGCGTTAAGGCACTTTCGCACCGGCATCTTCAAGTCCTCTCGATGTAGGACCCACTCCTTTGTTCATTTAATTTTATATTATTTCCTTTTAGTGTTCTAAATTAGTTGCATGCTCTGAACACGTTTCTCATTTGCATATTAGTATGGCTTCGTCACCTTCGGGTGTCGACCAGCACGTGCCTACCCTGGTGTTTGGAAGAATATCATGGTCGGGCGTGTCACAAGGAATCTCTAAGGCGGAGAAATTACTAATAGGAGGAGATTTAAATAGACATGTAGGCAAGAAGACAGGCAACTACAGATGTTTCCATGGCAACCATGATTTTGGGGAGAGAAACGAGGAGGGGGAAACCATTCTGGATTTTGCAATGACATACAATCTCTTTCTAGCCAATACCTTCTTTAAGAAGAGAGGAGAGCATGCGATCATCTTCAAGAATAGATACTCCAAAACACAAATAGATTTCTTTGTAATGAAAAGAAAGGGGGTCGTATAACTTGTAAGGGTTGCAAAGTTATACCGAGAAAAAAAACCTGACTAACCAATATTGCATGTTTGTGATGGATGTACATATCAAAAAAGATATAAGAAAGAACAAGACCTTGAAGTGTCCAAGAACTTGGGGTGGAATTTAAAAGGACAAAGCAAGTCCCTTTCAAAGAGAAAGTACTCGCCCTATGTGTTCGGGATACAGAAATCAACACTAGCAAAATGTGAGATTTCATGTTTAGCTATATCTAAAAAGTTGCAATAAAGGCATTAGAAGAGTCCAATGTTTTTGCTCCACGTCAAGGGGAATGTTAATGGTGGAAGGAAGGGATATATAAAAAAGGTTAAGGCTAAGAAGGAATGTTGTAAAGCCTTATATAGGGATAGAACTGATGAAAAATATAAAAGGTATAAAGTAGTGAAGAAAGTCCTTAGAGAAGTGAAGCTTGCAGCTTTTGACAATATGTATAAGTGATAAGATACAAAAGAAGGAGAGTTGGATATCCATAAACTGGCTAGAGCAAGGGAAAAAAAGGAAGATAAGAGACTTGAACCAAGTAAGATGCATCAAGGATGCGAATGAAAATGTTTTAGCTACGGAGAATGTGGTTAAAGACAAATTGAGAGCTTATTTTCATAATTTTTTTTTTCAGTGAAAGACACGAAATGAGTTCTTCTTTAGGTGAGTTGAATAACTCAGAAAAGTATAGAAATTACTCCTTATACCGCTTAGGAAAGAGGAAATGGTTGTAGCTTTGAAAAAGATGAAGCATAGAAAAGCAGTGAGTCTTGACATATACCGATCGAAGTGAAGATCTTGAGAGATACAATATAGCATGGCTCATAAACATTTTCAATAAGTTTTGAAAAGGAAGAAGATGTCAAACAAGTGGCAAAAAAGCACTTAGGTACTTATCTACAAGAATAAGGATGACATACAAAGTGGCATGAACTATAAGGATATTAAGTTAATGATTCA